TGCGTTTAGCCATGGTTCATACAAAACTCCTTTTTCTCTATGTGAATGCTGCTTCTCCTCATGTTCAACCGGCATCAAAGGCACACCTTCCCAGGTGGCGTCCATTTTCGCTTCAGAGGGGATGTCTCCGCTCTTGAAATTTCGCAGTTTGCCGTCAATCTCTGCCACGGCTGCTTTATGCTTGCTCTTCTCAGCAAGAAGGCGCTTCCGAGCCTCTTCAAGCTCGTACTCTGCAATCGCCTTCTTCCTTTCTGCTTTGGAAGCGGCTTTCCAAAGGAACGGAGGAATGCTGGGTGGTTTTGACGAACCCTTGTACTTTCTTGCCTTGTAACCTCCGGCATCATAGTAGGATGAATCGGCTTTGGGGATCAAAGTTGTTTCACCCGTAACAGGATCAAGAACCTCAATCATCTCAACCTCTTCACCCCCCGGATCGTCGGCAAGGTCTCCTGACCCGCGAGCGGCGATGGGTGCATCGTCAATTAGCACGTCAGGGAGTTCTGGTGGTTCATCAGGTTCATACTCTTGGTCAACAGCATGTTTCAAAACCTCCTGATCAACAAGCTCTTCAATGTTTGCAGCCTTGACATCATCAATTGATGGCGGATTGCTCGAAATGGAAATGCCTGGGTACAAACCTTCTCTTATCATGTTGTACCTGCCTTTGCATGGGAAGTGTAATCCGATGTCGGGAACGGCAATCTGATGGACTCTTAATGGTTGAATCTCCGCACTGAAGTCTGATTCCATGACATCCTTCAACGGCAGAACCATGAACTCCTTTCTCCACACAAAATTGGACTGAACGGCATATCCCAAGAATATCCCTGGGTTTGACGTTGGCTCGAACCTGAGAGAGGACTTGGCTTTGTTCTTGGGGCCGATCCAGTAATCAATCCTCAACCCAAAGGGAACCAAAGGGCCTGTGAACTTCTCACCGAACCGAAGCGACCAAGGCGAACTACCCTCCCGGGCGTCGACGATATTGTTTGCCATGCATGCATGCCTGGCAGCGTGAGCCCAATATTGATGGTGTAGGCCAGCTTGCTCTAGGTTTACCCTTGTTCCATCGATGACAGACCGAATCGATCTCTCAGCCATAGCATTGGTCTTAGAGACGTATGCAAAGCTGGTTTGATGCCTCCATCCTAGCCTTTCAGCCGTCGCGATGAGTTCTGGTGAATTGTCGGAATAAAATACTCCTACATCATCAGTCGAACGGACAAAATGCTTGAAGGCTGCTATGCATTCACGTGTTGATCGACGTGCGGCCGGATAGACATATCTGAAATCCGTTGCCACATCTTTCACGACCAATGCGACGCGAGCCCCATCGATGTCCATTTCCTCATCGTCACGAATAACAAGATGGTCAGCAGTCAAATGTTGTCCGAAATGATCCGCCTCTACCTGGGTTGAACCACCCTTGCTATACGATGGACGTTTGGTCATCTTTGCTCTCGAGCAGGCTTGACAAAAGGGGTTCTTCGGGGTATGAGTCAACAGATGTTGAATGGATTGCGCTTCTTCCTTGAGAGCTTTCTCTCCCCTATCCCTCTTCGGGTCCAACGGCTTCTCCACCAACCTTTCATCCACTGGCTCGGGATCATCTTCAACAGGATCCTCGCCGATGGGGTTGTCCTCATCATCCTGGACTTCAATTGCCTCTTCAGCCGGTGACGCGGGCAGAGGGATCATTGGTCGCAGCCCCTTTGACCGATCGTTCGTACCGTAAGGTTGACCTATGGCGGACATTGCAACACCGGTGGTTGATGGCAAGTATGGAACATAATCCTCTACTTCAAGCTTGACTTTTGTTCCGTCTGGTTTCTTGAAGTACGGCCTACTGTAAGCGGGCCAATGGAAGCTCCATCCTGCGTCGATGCAGCGTTGTCCTACCGATACGACGGCTGGGCTATCTTCCAAGACATAAGGATTGATATCAGTTCCCAACACGGGGACGTTGACTCTGGCTTGGTCAGTGGCTTGAAAGACTCCGTTGGCAGTAAGAAGACTGACCGGTTTGGACGATTGTGACACTTCATCCGAATGTAGCATGTGTCTAGATACAAGATCGTGTGCGCTGCCAGTATCTGCAATCCATGCAATCTCAGTGGCGGGCACTGTTGGACATGACCTCCTCTCAAAACACTTGATGCAACCTATATCAGAGTTGCACAGGTACGAACATTCTGCCGGCAAGGACAACAGCTCGTTCCTGACAGCATTCTGAAGGTGTGATGCTGCAATGGATGCGTCCTCAGTGGCAACACGAACTGCCTCAGCATGCTCCGGTCGACCTGGTGTGAAGGGTCTTCGTTTCTTCTTACTCCGGGGTTGAACGGATCTCCAACTGGAAGAAGACTCAACAGCATGATTGAAAACGTTTGGTTGATCGTCAAAACGAACTCTTTGCGTAACAAAACTGTCAATGTTTTCTGTGTTGTCAAAATCGGTGCACATAGTGTTTGATGCGGAAAGGACCGGCATGGCCACGCTTCCCAGCGGGCGAGTGATGAGGACGGAGGATCCCTGAGAGACCACTGCGGCCATGACCACTGCTCGAAGGAGGCATACCGCTGCCGGTGCATTGGAAGAAGAAGACTTCCCACCTTTTCTCCTCTGACTCTCAGAGCCAGTTGAGTTGTCGGAGCCTGATGATCCTCGTGAGCTGCTTCGCTTGCGAGGTTTCTTGTCTTTCTTCTTCTTCTTCTTTTTGTCCTCTTTCTTCGCAGGGACAGTCTTTTCAGGGTGTTGGAATGCGCAGTCTTTTCCTCGGTGGCAATGTCCTGCCTTCCAAAACTTGCAAGTCTCCTTGCGAGATCCTGGTGTCAGCGATCTTGACCGAGATTGGCTGCGATCCTTGCCCTTTCCCTTTCCTTTGCTTTTCTCGCGGCCTTTTTCGTGCTTGTAAGGACATGATGATCCGCGCTTGCATTTTCCGGTCTTTTGGAACTCGTAGCAGATGCCTTTCTTCTCCTCCGGAGCTGGCATGGTTGTGTCTTTGGACCCGAGCGAACGCTTCGTGGCGTCGCGCATCTTTTCCAACCTCTTCCGTTCGAGGTAGGCCCGGGCAGCAGTAATCAGGAAGTCGTATGTTCTTTCTTTGCTTCCATCGGCTGCACGGTCGTACAAGGCCAAATCATGCTCAAGCGGCTTGAAACGTTTCACTGCCAGGTGGAAATAGGCTTCCAGAACACTGTTTTCTGGTTCCTTTTTCATTCCGGCAAGAACGCTATCCCATTTATTTATAAAGCCCTTGAGGTCATCGTTGACCATTTTGACGGACATGAGGTCTTCGAGTCCGTAGATTGCTCCATGCTTTATGCTTGTGGCAAAATACTCGTGAAACCGAAGGAGCAAGTGTCTACCCTTCACGTTCTTGTCTTCACGAGCACGCAGCTCCTTGAATGTAGCAATCTGCCGACCGAGGTCCCCCTCAGCGCAATTGGTTAAGCTTGCAAGAAGCTTTGCGTCGAGGGTTGCAAATCCCTCTGAATCATCCAAGGCATCAATGGTTTGGGAATCTTTGTATACTTTCCCAACCCAAGATCTTGCTTCATCCGGCTTCGCTGAAGCTGCAGCAATATTGTCCCTCACCTTGATCTTCCAGTCTCTGTACTTCTCAGGCGTGGGGAACTTGGGAATGAGAATTTTGTCAGCTTCTTTGGCTTTACTCTCATGATCCTTGTCTTTCGACTTCCTTTGCTGCTTCTTCAGCTCTTTGCGAATGATGCGTGCAAGACGCGATGATTCAGAGCTTGAGTCATTTGAGTCATCACTCCCTCCTGATGAACTGGGTGACGATGGTGATGGGGAAGGAGAGCGTTTCTTTCTGCGCTCCCTCGAGCGGCCCCTCTTAGGGCTCTTCTCTTTCTTCTTATCCTTACCTTTCTTCTTCTTGTCTTTCTTTGATTTATCACCACCCTCCTCATCAGCATCGGATGGATGAGGTTCATCACCGCCTTCGATCCCGGGCTTCTCCAACTGAGTGCGAAGGCTCGCTGGAGGCAAAGCTGGGGACACCTGAGACCCAGGTGGCTGCACTGATGGTGCAGGCACTCGGTTCCCCGAGGCGTTGTCAAACCTCTCTCTCAACTCCTTGATGATTCGACTCTGTTCTGCTAACTCTGACCGAAGTGCATCCTCTCTTTGCTTGGCAGAGGCGCGTTCGTTCTCAACGACGGTGTGTCGTTCGAGCGAAAGGCGATCTAGGTAAGCCCGTTGTTCTTGAAGATGTTGATTTTGATGGGCTTGGTTCATGTCACTCAATCGTTGATTGGCTAAAGCCTCAATCTGTTCCCTAGACTCCTGGACAGCCACTTTAGCTTGGTTCTCCACTACGCCTCTAAAATGCCTAGCCTCCTCAGCTACTTGTTGCCCGTGCTCGGCCAAAATGGCCTGATGCCGCAACTCTGCGATTTGGGCTACCTGTGCTGACCTGTCCTCATTGACGAAGACTGCTTGTTGATGGATCTGTCTCGCATCAACGTTCTGGACATTCATCACAGGAGAAAACTCAGGTTGAAACGGCGACGGTGCTTGACCACTAGGCAACAGGTCCCCCTGTGCACTGAACGTCGGTGGCGCAATTGGCACACGCAACTCCAGCGGAACGACAGGGAGATCAGCAGCAGGTGAACTGGACATCGCAGGCGAAGTAGGAACGTAGCCTGAGCGTGAGCGGTCACCACGGGAACCATCATCATCAGCCATGGCCTCTAGATAGTGCACTACCTAGGGTGGGGTGAGACCACAGCTAGTAGAAAGCACGTACCGCACTTATGGCGATACGGCTGATAACCTGTAGATACAGGTAAACGACCGAGAACCACCAACAAGTCGCACCTGGTTTTCCTTGAGCCAAACGGTAGTAAAGTGAGACATGTATACGACATCCTAGCGTGAAACAACAATCTTTCTTCCACAGTCGCCAATGCGACCGTCTAAGTGGCCAGGAAAAGGACTCGACTGAACTCGACCGATGTTGGCCTCCGCACGGATAGTTGTAAGCTGCCGTTTGGCCCTTCTGGTACGGCGCCAGCGGAATCCTCAGCGTGCGCTTCCCCCCCGGTGCGGTTCCCGGTGGACTCGGCGTCCGGGTTCACCGAGCACCTGGCCGGCCGCCGTAGTAGGGCCTCGCGACCTGTGGGACCGGTGCGCACTGGTGCGGACCGACGTGCCAGTCGAGACGGGTTCAACTCCGGTTCACTTACTGAACAAGCGCTGCTACACGTTTCCAACATAAATCTTCAAACGCAGTTTTTGATGGTATATGATGGTATTGATGTTCATATTAGCACCAATAGAATTATTGTCAGTCTGTCTTTTTCTGTCTCTGGCTGTGGCTGGGCATACCCGAACCCGCCACCCTGCTGTTCCAGCCAGGAACCCACTGAGACGTCGGACGTCGGAGGCCCAATGCGCTGGAGCCAAACCAGACCGGGCAGCCAATTGCTTCACCCCGGACAGCACCTCAGGAAACTGCGAAACTGCTTCAAATACGGTATTAGTTTAAACAGTCAAAACATGGACTGGGCCAACTTGACCAACGTTTGGGTGCTGTTTCACAGAACGCCATTGCCATATCCTCTTAGTTAAATCGGTTTCATGTCAGGTTATGCCAGCTTCCGATCTCCGATCTCGTGCCAACACTCACGAGTCGCAGCACTCGATGAGGTCGGCACACGATCCACCAACAAGGGCGACGAAGGAGTTGGTGCTTCATCCTGATCAATTCATCGCGATGCGATTCATCCACTGCAGCGAGGTGAAGGCGCGAGGTTGGCCTTTTTCTCTCGCGCGTCCAAACGACGCAAGAAGGGCAGTGCAGTGGAAAGGAACCGTGAAGGATCCAAATTTCATGACAAGTGGGCTTTGCATGGGTCTTGGAAGGTTTTCAATCTTAACAAAGTTCACTTCACTCAGTGGCTTTGGATGGTTTCGGCACCCAAACTTCCCATTTTGAGACACACATGCCATGTCATGCTCTTCCTTCAAGCAAGCTGCAACGATCCACACGCGTGCCACGCGTGCGACATGCTCTTCCTGGGGCTTCTGCCAAGGTTGCTGGCGCCTTGAAGGATTCTCTGACCTCACGACGCGGTCGACGCTCGCGGTCGACGCTCAGCGGAGCACGGTGAATCGAAGCCCTGCGGTGCCCGGCGTGGACTGGAACGTTGCTCCAGAGGCGTGACACCACGGGGGCATGTCTGGCACCACCCTGAGAGCTGTGGAAGCTCTTTGGGGCAACGTCCGAAAAAGAGCGGACGTAGCGCCACGCTGTTGGGCTGTCAGCTTCAAAGATGTGACGATCCTTCTTATGTGTCAATAAAAAGTATATGAGATGACTCAAACCAAGTCGTGTTTTTGAGATGTGGACAAATGGGTATCCGGTATCTGTGGACACGTGTGGGCCGTCTCCCGAAGCGTCGTCGTTTCGGTTTCAACTGGGTCGAACCTTGAGGTCTTCGTCCAGAGCACCTTTGAAGACAATATCAGACACCTGACATCTGTGCATTCAAAACTGCGTGGGAACACACCTGTGTGACACCTGACATCTGTGTTCTTCCTTTTTTTCTGCCTAGCTGTTCTCAATCCTGCTTTTCATGCGGATTCCCTGGAAGGGGCCATCCCTCCCAAAACATGTGCTGAATCCAAAATATCTAACGAGCGGATGGCTGGGTAGATTCTTGAGCCCCCACTGACACCTTCGATGGTCCAGGAATGGCCACTGAAGTCGTCTCTTCGCGAGGCGCCACTGAAGTAGTGCCACCTCCGAAGGAACAAAAGGAACAAAGATCAAGTCCGCAAACAGAATACTTGCATCCTACAAGCTATTGCTATCCACAACTGCTTGAGTTTGTAATTCCTTCTTGGGATCGGTTCCACAATTCCTTGCCATGAAAGCAAGCTTCTCCTGTTCGTTCAGCCTTCAGCGCCTTCGACAAACAGTTAAGTCGACATTACCGTAGAAGTTCGGGAGGGAACCCATTCTCCGTTATTTGTTCGAATTTGCTTGGAAATGAGTAGTATTGGACGCTGACAAGTCAAGTGGTGTGTTTTCTCATGTTTTCTCCTGCAGGTGATTTCTGCCCTGAGATCCTTCCTTAGCTTTTGACCCGAGTCGGTAATTAAAAGGTTGGAGTCATGTACAGCGGTTTTGCAAAATACAATATGTGCAAAGCTTTCTATCTATCGCGTTCTTATATTGCCATTGGTTCCCTTTGAGATCCTTGCGTTGATTTCTCTCAAAAGGACATCCTTTCCTTTCCTGTCCTTTTCCAACCAATAAATTGTTGTTGTTTCCTCCTCTTAGCAATTTTATCTAACAAAACGGTGCCTCGTTTACTGTAATGTGAATGACTCTCCCCAATTGTTTGCTACGGGAGAGGAATGTTGACGTGACTAATCAAGACCAACATGACTCGACTCTGCTGGTGCTACAAGAAGGATCAAGAATGTCTACTTTAGGACAGGGGCCCAAGGGCCCAAGGGCTTTACTCTGCATCACCATCTTTGACACTTCATCGGGGCAAAGTGCAGATTTCTTGTTTTCGCGGAGTGGCTTTGTTTTGGGCAAATGGCGGCCCATGGCGCCAAGACAATCAACGTATATATCGCTCATGCTGCATCATGCTCTGCTCCATGCTCCATGCTACGCCTGCCTAGCTCTGGAAGAGAAGTGGACGAAGTGGCAGGTGTCGAAGTGGACGCGCGGCTTCGCGACAGACTTCTGCAAAGCCAAGCCTTCTGGGTCTCTTGAACCAGTTGAGCCGTGGGGGAGTTTCCCACTCAAAACCGGCGTATTGCGCACTCTATGTCGGCTTGGATGAAGTCCTTCTCAACCGGTGGATCAAAAGATTCCTGCTTGATATACAGCCTCATTTACAGAAGAGTCAATGAATCCATATCAATGTCAATGAATTAGACGGCTTAAGAAAGATTGGGTGAGGGAAGAGACCACGCCAGGTGCTGCACCAATCCGGCCTGTGCCTGCCATCTGAGCATATGTGAAGCATGGCTTCGATAGAGCATGACCTCGTTAAAATAGCTCAACAAATACAGTCGCGCCTGGGCTTGTCTCAACTGCACTCTAGTGAGACACCCACTTGGGATTGCAACTGCTGCTTCAAATGTGCTCCCTCTCGACTTGGGAGCTTGATGGAATTTTATTGTCATGAGATTGCCGCAAAATCTGAGCCAAATGGCATCAACCGTTTTCCATGCACTTCAGTCGCACGCATGCAGAGAAGGGCACAGCTGCGTTGACAAATGTCTCACGATGAATGAACACACTTCTCGCACAAACCTCAGGGTGGTCGGGTGGCCCTCAGGATTATACACAGCAACAAAAGAGAGCTGCTACACGCGTTTTCTATCGATCTGGTGTTTACAAAACCCTTTCAGATCATGTGCCGAATGACTTGTGAGAGAATATGACCAAATTCGTGACATTCCTGACAGCATCTCAACACCATTGATGGTCATGTTCTTGCAAAGAGTGCAGGCCTCACCCCTGTTCTCTCCTAACAACCCAACAATGGGCGCCACACGCGGGCCCACACGCCTCAGGCATTCGCCACAGGTCTGGCCATAGGTATCCGAAGTTCGACGCCCTTCGCCAGTTCTCCTTCGACCTCACCGGAGGATCTCGGACGAGGCACCCCGGGTCTTCAGGAGGACGAGAAGGGAGGGAATCAAAGCTGGTTGGTGAACTAAAAGCTCCCCCTGGCCCTGGATGTATAGGTGGAGTTGTTGACACCATGCTGTAGAACAACCATGCTTTTCGCGTTCTAAAGTCATGGTCATGACATGCGGCAGGCTGAGCGCGTGGCCTCCTGAAGCTTCACGATAGTGCCTGAGACGGCGCAGCGAGACATGGAGAAGACAAATCAAACACATGATGCGTGCAATGCGTGCATCTTCCAAGCGCCAACCTGCGAAAACTCAAAACTGTTGATGCAAAAGGTAATTGGAAAAGATCGAGGAAACAAAACACATGAAGACACACAATCATAATCACTATAATGACTGCCAGTGCGAAGCCAAGCTGCTAATGTTTGATCTACAGTGTGGACAATGAGCACCGCCAAATGCACGATTCTGGACAATCCGTGTCACGCACTCCTGCCACGTTCTCTGTTCCACACGCTTGAATATATCACTGTGCTCTTCAAAGTTTGCGGATGGACGTGACACCTCAGCGTAAAGGACTCTCTCTCCGATAGCGAAGGTTTCCCATCCATCCATCGGCTCCTCGCACACACCTCCATGCGCACAGGGAAGCAGCACCATGCACCCGGGCTCGTCCAAACAAACAACCTTCAAAGTCAAGAACTGAAGTCAAATGAGAAGAATCTCAAAACAAAAAACACCTATCCCAGACGCTCCATGTATGGCATATTTACCTACATTGGGGTGGTTTTAGGGGTCAATGTATGTAAATATGCCAGTCCCATGGAGTGTATGGGTATAATAGTTTGCACAATACAATACATGTCGATTTCTCAGTTTCCCTATGGATCCACATACCTTCTGAGAAGGTGATTGGAGACTATTTATGTAGGCTTGGAGGGTCCAATTAGCTTCTGAGAAGGTATGTGGATCCATAGGGTTTGTCCATGTGAAACCTGAGTTCTGAGGCCACGAACGCACTGTGGCAGACCATCTTCAGCCCCGCTAGCACTTTCCACATCCACCTCACATTCGGCGCTCACATCTTCGAGTCTCAATTCTGCCAGAAGGGGAGCTGGACCACACTGCCGGGGCGAACACATGTGTATGTTTATGTTTAAAACTTACATTCAACAACATAATATGTGAAGACATGCATTTGTGGCCTGCAGTTGTTTTTGTCCGATAGTGCCAAATAACAGCCTTGCCTTCCCAATGATCGACGCCGCCACTTTACCGACATCATTCTCCTCAGGCTCAGGGGAAATCACGCATGCCCAAATGAATGAACGAGTGCCCAGCGCATGGGGAAGGGCATTTATGGAGGATCTGACACATAATGAAACTACCCTAAGAATCCGGAGCCGAATGAGGGAGGGTCCTGCTGGTACACCGGGGCTTGAGAGCATCCCCACTGCAAAGAGGCGGAAAAGACATAGCTAGATCGATATTTTCTAAACCATCTACTTTCAGTTTCTTTCTGCTTGATCGACGTCGAATTTGAAGGCTTCGCCAGGTGACCTGGCTCGTTTTGCGCCTGTTTGTGGGCGAACAGCGACCGTTTCCACCGGACGCATTTCGCCTCGGCCGCTCTTGGAGGTCGCGAGGAGGTGGGCGACACATCTGCCTCGGAGGTCGGTATCGGTCGACTCTCCATCCGAGCAGTCCCGGAGGTCCCGTAGCGACGGCTATCGGTGAAACGGCCCAGGTTCCAGGTGAAAGCGATTTGGGGAGTCTGGTGAAACGTCCATCTGGATGTGGAATGATGTGGATCAGCATACAGCTGCAGCCCAGGAGAGAGGCACTCCGAAATTGGATTGCTATTCGTTTGATTCTCACGACGTAGTTCATTTTTAGTACCAGGACCAGCACCAGGACCCTAGGTCATCACCTGCGGCGAATTCGAACGCTGACCCCCTGAGAGTTAAATAGTTTCAGAGCTATGTCGGAGAGTTGCTGATCGAAACATGGTCAATTGGGTTGGTCGCAACTCTCGATGGCGTCCGTTTGCGGAGTCGCTTCATGGAGTCGATCGATAGAGTCATGCATCATCCATCGAACAACGCGGGGCCCCGCGGCAGTTGGGGTCGATCTTTCGTGGGACTAAGTGGCGCCGTCTTCGAGCTCTTCTTGGCTAATCTCCTGCAGTGCAGAACCGCCAAGGTGTTTCACGAAAACACTCCAAACACCTGGCCGTTCACGGCCTTCAGCCACAGCTGCCGCTTTTTCCGGCTCAGCTAAGAGGAGTCGGTGCACTCCCAAACCACATCCCTCTTGCTTTGGTGTCTTCCATCTGAATTTTTGCAGTACTATAGGGCGCTTTAAAAGCATGCGCTTTACAAATCTCTTGCTAACACAACAGCGACGTTTGTATCCTTTGAGGCCAAGCACCACTTTTTCGACACTCCGCTGTTTGCTCGGTTGCTTGGCAAGCATCGCAGTATCTATGACCTATGTACACTCAGCCAGTGTCAATCCCAGATTTAGGGATTCACTGCAGAATCAGCAGAGTCAGGTCTAACAGATTCAACTTCTGCTGCTTCAACCTCTTTCTCCATCTTCGGATCCGGCGGATCCGGCAGCATCTCCGGCAGCTTCTCTGGTATCGGCTCCGTCCAGTCCGCCACGTCGCCGTCTCGGTCCATCTCGTGATCGGCGACGGCTTCGGCTGCCACGGTGTCGGATTTCGCCCGGCGCCTGCGCAATTCGTTTGACATGTCGTGCCTTTTTATACGCATCTGAATTGAGTCGCAATCGAAGCAAAAAGAGCCGGGGAAAACTGGTAATTATAGTCACCCGGGGTTTGTTAATCATTGAGTCTACATTATTCTTCAACATGTTACCAGCCAGCATCGATGAACCGCGTCGCCGCGTCGCCTACGAAGTTCCAAGCGAGCCCGCCGCACCAAGCCCTCCTGCACGGTGCGAAAGCAGAACGCGCTGGGTGACCAAACGCGTGGATGTGCGGTCGGACGCGGTGGGTGTTCGGATTCTGTTTTGGCTTGTTGGTGAGAACGGAGAAAAACACTGGCAGAAAGGTTGGAGAAGTTGGCAAATTTGAGTTGGACACCGGAGATCCTGCTACTCCTTTTTCGGATCCTTCTCTCCATTTCTCAACAAGGACGTCCTTCTGGAGCTTCAGCAGGTCGTTTTCCCGGCCTTAGGTCATGCGGTCCATGTGGTCCATGCCTCAATAAAGCACTAGCGTTAGGATAACGTGGCTCCCACACAGGGCTGAAATCATTGAACAAATTAAAAAACAAAAAATAATCAAAAAAATAATCAACTCAAGAACTCAAATCCAAAACAGACTCAACAACAAAACTCAAAACAAACTCAAACACAACTCAAAAACAAACTCAAAAAAAACTCAAAAACAACTCAAAAAAAAACACAAAAACAACTCAAAAACCATGTTTGAGTACAATTTGAGTCCAATCTGAGTCCAATTTGAGTCCAATCTGAGTCCAATTTGAGTCCAATCTGAGTCCAATTAGTGGCTTTGGAATCTGAGTTTCTGGTCTGAGTTGTTTTTGAGTAGGTTGTTGTTTTTATTTTTTTCATCTTGACCCCTTGCTGTGTGGGAACCCGGGATCACAACACTAGCGGGGGGTAGGAGCAAGGACGCTACGAACCGGAACAAAGGGCATCGCTACGAACGGAGCAAGGACGCTATTAGGGGCTCCTGGCCTTACTACTAGGAACAAGAAGCTGTTATTAGAAACAACAAATGGATTAAAATAGTTAATTTTAAAAAAAAATATATATACAAATATGGCACTGCTGGTGCTGATTAATGTTGCATTCTTTCCTGACGCTTCCTTTGGCCCGCACGGAGACATGGATGGACTTCTCCCATGGCGTCCGGATTCTGGCGCACAGCAATGGAGGCCTCCAAAAAGACGTCAAACGTGGAATGCAGCAGCACCCAATGGTTCTTTTGAACGCAAAACCCGTGTGATGATGCCACTATTCGTTGTAAACCACAAAATCCAAACTGGAGTTGAAAACTGCTAGTTCGGATGAAGCAAGTACTGCTTGCCAAATCAATGTGCTGATGACCCGGCCAATTCTTGGTCAGCACGCAAATCCGGAAGCAAATAGTGCCTCAACAAAACACGGACCGCGCAAAATCCGCAAGCAAATGGCTGCGCAAAAACGATCACATGCTGTCATCCCTCGCAACGCCATGTCGTTCCGTAAAGGCTCAGGAATTCAACATCCAACCAGCCAGTTGGCGATGGAGCCATGTGCCCATCTCATCTGTGCCCAGGATCTGTTCTGTCATCGACTTTCCCGTGTTTGGAGAGAAAGTCATCTGCAATGAAGCTGCAGAAATGAGAGACGAGGCAAACCTGATGTTGTATAGTCAACATCGAAAGACACAGAAACACCATGAAACACCGGCTCTACAGCACAGCATATAAGTACACCATATTACACCCAAAACACACTCCGTGGAGAAAGAGTGCCCTGGAAAGAAGAAGTACAAAAAGAATCGCCACAAAAATGATCATCCTGTCTGGGTGTCCAATAGACTACCCTACCCTATGTAGATGGGTCTCCATCTGCCTTGGGCACCCGTTGGAAGTGCTATAGGTAGAATCGTGCAAAAACATCTGAGCTTCCCCGCAACATCAAGCCATTCCCTTCCAGCGCCGCCGCCGCCACCGACCGGTGTCCTCGTAACCTGAGGACGTGGCAGTAGAACGCCGGTTTCGTGTAAGCCACCGGTTTCGTGTGCGTTTGCACTGTATGACCGTATGACCTACAACAAAATCACCATGCGTTTGGTACCTATCAGGTTCACTTAAAGAGCCTCCAAACCTATCAGGTTGAGTTAAAGAGCCAAACCTATCAGGTTCACTTAAAGAGCCCCCCAAAATCGCTAAGTCGGAGACTCTTGTGCTCTGACAATCTCTGGATTGATGGTGGCCGCCTCCACCAAGAAGTCCTTCCGAGCTGGACGGTGACATCCCTCCGACTGGTCGGCGGTGTGGACTCGGATCTGTGCGTCGATCCAAAAAGCATCCCAAACACTGGACTTTATATCATCATTCATCTGTCTAGTCTGTCTAAGAAGACAAATCTATATTGCTGTTCTTGGTCAATAGATGGCATCACACAGACCTTTTGTTGGACCGATGGAATCCCTTTGGCTGTCCATCGTCCACAGTCCCACAGCTTCTCCCAACCTCCGGAGGATCCGGGTTCTTCCGCAAGATCTCCTTGATCGCTCGCCAGTCCTTCGAGCCGGTTCGGAGCGTGTCGACGAGACGGAGCACCTGCCACGTCGGTCACACCGGAGACCGATCCGTCGAGTCCATACGATCGAACGCCCTCCCGACCGAGGAAAACAACACAACCGAAGTGCATGCGATATTGAGCAATGCTGCCGATCATTTCTGAATACAAGCCCAATGTCGAGTCCTTTAGGAAGTGGTCTAAGGTCAATGTCAATAACTGACTCTCGAAGTCTCCTGCTTCACAGTGTCCAGCAAGAGCTCAATTGAAAGCCCCTCTTCCACCTGTGCAGCTGCCACCCGAGGCATGCGCTCGGACTTTCCATAGGTGCTTCACAGTTAACAATGATGCATTAAGCCTCCTGGAACTAGGTAGGAGTACTTTGACATCCCTTATGAAATGATATCAAATGAATCGAATCATTTTCAGTGTCAACCAGAGCTCTTGGGTTTTGACCCACGCACACCAGTCCCACACAGGGAACATCTTCAGCCCCAGGTCTCTGCTAGGGTGAGCCTGCTCAAAGGGAAGAGCTTCCCAAGACTGAGCCACAGCTTTGTTGACGACTCGTTTGTTGGCACCTCAAAGAAAACACATATCGATCGAGATGAAAGTCATTAGCTGTAGCTTGTTTGAAGAAAACATAACACATCAACACACCAATTCGTTGGCATTAGCTTAAGGCAGGCAAAAACACTGAGCTCAAACTGGGCTCGACGGCCATGCACCGCTGAGGCGTGGACAAAGAGTCTCAGATGCATATTGCAGCACAGATCCATCCACTTGTGCCACTTCCTTCACCAACTCTTCGTCCTGCACGACGACGACCAACTCGCGCCACGTCCGACGAAAAGGTCGGTCGCACCGGTCGGGACTGTCGCCAAGGCGCTGATCGAAGAGTCTCCGAAGCGAAGCGAAGGGCTCTGGGATTCTGCTTCACAGCCACGTCCACCACCTGGCTAAGTCCGATGCTCCCGAACACAACACCTGCATGCATCTGTTCACATGTACATTGTAAGCCTAGCTTAGCCTTCCAATGACTGCTTTTTTGGACCCCCAACAAAAACCGATGAAAGCCAGCAAAAAACAAACGAACGACATCGAACACACGCATCGCGATGACATCCCTCCGCGCCTTGCGACTCGACTGGAACTTCTCGGGCGCAAACTCCAAGGCCTCGCCGTTCTGCTGCAAGGCCTCGTCGACGAAAACGGCGGTGGCCCGATGGTGTTGTTGTGGGTGGAGCAGGGCGCGAAGTGAAGACGCTATCAGTGTGTTATACAGTATATGCAAAGATAATTGTTACAGTCAGTTTGTAAAGTTTTAAGAGGTTTGTGAAAAAACAGCGGTTGTTTAATTGCCCACTCAGTCCGCTGGAAGTTGCCAAGTGGCAGCGAGCACGACGCTGGTGTCAGCCTTCAGAATGGGTGAGACCTCTGTCAGGCAGTTCAAGATTCAAAATTGTATAAAGCAATCATTATGTTCCAGAGCTTGGGAGAAATCGGCACCATTCGGCATCCCACGTATTGTAGGCTGAGCCCATCTTTCCTTAGTTTTGGAGTCCATAAAGAGGAATTAGCTCGCTCCAAATGAAGACTAAGCCCAGAACTTGAGAACTTCAAGAACAAAAGCTCGATCTGCCGCCAACTTCGAGGAAAATGCCAGAGCTTTCGACCTCAAAAAGTGGACCAATGCAAGCGACCCAAGCGACCCCGTCATCCTCTATCGGCATGCCCCTCGGCCACCGGCGAACCCCTTGGAGCCTTCAAGGCCTGTGGTGCCGATGCTGCACGGGGGAAGCGTTCGCCGGTGACGCCGGTGAAACGAAGAGAACGCCTCCAGGACCAGGCGCGAGTCGTTCCGAAGCTCCTGAGGAGCGGAAAAGGGACGGCTCCTGAGGAGCCCAGAGAGGGGGACGTGGTGCAGAAAGCTGCAGGATGGAGCAGGTGCAAGATGTGACCGGCGGAAGCAGTCTGCACGTGGTGACCACAGACCTATAGCTAGGGCAAAGGCATGGCAGAAATCCACCAAATGGGACTATATGTGAGCTCATGTGATACGATGACCAACCAAGCCTATAGCCTAGCCGCAAAGGATCTTGTCTGGTGGGCAGTCAACTTCTGTCGGTCGTTTCACTAAACTCCTGAGAAAAAATCCTGTCAAATGTCCAATTCGTTGTCACAAAAAGAACATGTTCACAATGAAGCTCAAGCAAAGCCACTGTCTGCTCAAACCTCCATGTTGGAATCTTGGAGATCCTGACTTCAATACATTTCAATACTAACTATTAGTCCAGAATTAAACTGTCTGTGCAAGTGTACAGTATATATCAAGTCTCATTGAAACCCACCCAACTCTAGCAAAGTTGCGAGCATGCAAACCAATATCAAAAAACGAAATCCATGCAGTCCGCACCTCTCAATCTGCATCTCATTCTCCCCCGAACCAAACCCACGCAAAAAGAGAGGAAGTTCGACGTCCTCGGCGTTCTCCATCCCATCCGCCGTCCTCAACGGCGTACTGCAGGGCGTCGCCTCCATCCAGCTTCACCGCGGCCTCCACCAGGCTCCGGTCGCCTCGGAGCTCCTGGCGGTTTGCGGAGCGCTCCCGCGGTGGAGGGACGGGTCGATCTTCAATGACTCGGTCGTCAAAACCCGCGTTTTTTCATGTGTTCTTTTCCCATGTCAGCTATACAGGACCAAAGCTCAAACATCATCAAATGTGTATATTTTCCAAAAAACAATGCAACTGCATAGTACATATAGTACACCAATAACAACAACATTTAAAATCAACGTGCGAGAGAGAGAGAGAGAGACCAAATCACTCCGCCCACGATGCTGATTCACCGAATCCGATTCCGCTTTCTTCGAGAAAGAACACCGGGGGCGCTTCGTCTAAAAGGATCTGATCAACGCTCCGCATTGACCGCATTTCCCGTTCTCCTTGGAGGCGTACCGCAAGGCTGTCCCATCACTTCCTCGGGGCGAACGGATCAGGTGTTCATCGACCCCCATCCACCGCGGTGTTCGTCGGGCTCCCGACGCACGGCTTCCTGCAAGGTGATGAGGTCCTCTCGCATCTCAGGTGGAAGACACCTCGAGGTCTGTGTCTGGTGGGGGAAACTAGAAACAAGTGCCACGCTGCCTTACTAGTAGTAACAAGAAGCTATTAGAAACAAGAATTTGTCTGATCGAACAGCATCTGAAAGCAGCAGGAGGGGAGCAGAAGCTCTCACAGCATCTCTGCAGGGGCTGGTTGTATGATGTGTATGTTCCAATCACCAAATCGTCGGGCCAAAAGGTGTCGTCGGACAGCTTGGGTAGATGACTCAATGTGAAGAAAACTGGCAAACATCTGCTCTGCTTCTGCCTGAAGCTACCCTTCCTTGTAGGGTGAACCCCAAACCGCCAAGCCAAATGAACATAGAATCCCATGGGAGAAGGAACACAACAACAATATTACTACAACAACAACAACCACGACGACGATGACGACTACTACTACTACTACTACTACTACTACTACCAGCAGCAACAGCAACAACAAACAACAAAGGCAGCACACAACCACCAGAGTGATGTCCGACCTCCCAAAACATCCCAACGTCCAACCCATGTTCTTGACGACGGATCTCTCTCCGGGAGGCTCAAAGGCTAGGCTGCTCTGCTTCAACGCGGCCTGGCGAAGCGATGAAGTGTTACAGTTCAGGGGAGCTCTTGCCTCTTGGCTATATGGTCCTATACCTATAAAACATCAAAGGGCATCTCAGGTTTAAAAACATGCGAACCAATGAAGCATTCTGCAAGTAAAGAACCTCTCAACAATCCTGCTTGGCTAGGGATGAAAAAATGATGAAACGTGCACCTGTTGTTGAATTTGTTGCGGTATAGCCACTTTTCACGTGGAAAGGATACACAATGACAATCACCAGCTTAACTGGCCAGCTCCGCTGCTGCGACTTCCTCGTCTCGTCGAGCATTGTCCCCTAAACATTCCAGTGCCTCAGTGAGCTGTGCCCAGAAGAGATCACATAGGGATAGTGCTGCTGCTGCTGCTACTAATACTACCACTACCACTACCACTACCACTACCACTACGACTACGACTACGACTACGACTACTACTACTACTACTACTACTACTACTACTACTACTACTACTACTACTCCTACTCCTACTCCTACTCCTACTCCTACTCCTACTCCATCCTATTCCTATACTCCTGGCTACTACTGTAAAAGAAGAGTTTATAAAGCAAACTCAAACAACTATATTACAATATTTAGTAGGACCTTCCTTGACTTCTGAAAAAAGTAAAAAAACATTCGAGGTTTGATCTTCAGTCTGATTCTATGTCGTTCAAGCTTCATGAATCGCCCTCTGGGGCACCCTGGCCCACCAACAGCTTTCCACCATTGGCAGCACGAAGACCGGATCATCACGAAGCTCCTCCGCGGCGTAGCGCAGCGCCTGGCTCGCGGAGAGGTTCCCAGGGTGAGACAAGGATGAGATCCATGTTGAAAGCTATAGGATCAATTGGATCAGGAGGACTTGGTAACCAAGTCCGCCCGGGGTCAGAGACTTTTGGACGTCAAGCATGGAGAGAGAGTCTGTGGATTTGCTCTAGGATCGCAATCACCAAAAAACAAAACATACAACAGCAGTGTCCATTTCCTTCTTTCGCCGGACCCGCTGTTGTGGACTGTGCTTTATCTGGCGCACCCCGGGAGCTTCAAAACAATCCACCCATCCGGCTGCCGGCTCACTCGATCAGAGCGACGGACGCTCGCTCGATGCCTTCCAGGTTTGCTTCGTGGCGATTTCGATGCAGCGAAAATCCGCTTTGACCTCGGGTCGGGTCGGGGGTGGAGGTTCACTGGAACTAGACATGAAGAAGTTGATCTCAAGAACCTCATTGGTTGAGGTGTTGCTTTAATATGCTTTAATCTTCTGTTGAATCTTCAAAAACTCCCATGACGTCCCTCTAGACAGGGGTGCGTTGTGACAGTTGTTACCAAACACCTCTATAGATCTTGCTGGGTTTTGTCAAACACCTCTGCCTCGATGCGCGTGCGCGTCGCTGAGACCTGGGGGCCCCCTGCACTTGCCGGGGCATCAATGAGATTCTGCCAATTGGTGGTCAAAAGAGCCTGACCGGTCTGACCAGGGCAGAGTCTGCACAGTGCGGTGTCTGGAAACCCACTCCATGTCTCCCTAGTCCTACAAACTTGTTTCTGGTTGTTTGGGATTCCAGCTGCATATGATGCACTTTCTTATAGCAAAGCACTGCTATGCACTGCTTCAAGCACGGAATCTCCGGTCGCCAAATGTTTGTGGAGTTGAAAAAGGAGTTCATCGTTGAAACAGTTTGAGCTCAAGCTCCACAGGGTCTATGTCAATTTGTTTTTAGTTTGAGCAGCCCTGAAAAGAATTTGTGCTCAAAGATGAAACACGTCAATTCTTCAAGGACTAAATAAGTTGACTTTGGGTAACCCCAAAAACACCCTCCAAATCATCCAATCTTCGATTTCACCCAGCAGGCGCGAGGTGCGGTGCGAACGGCACGGCCACCGTTTTGGATGCAAGTCCTTCTGCCGCTGCCGCTCTGACTGCGCACCTCCCAGTGGTCGCGGTCTGGAAGGTCCTTCCTGGGAGACAGTCGACGGAGGGCGGCGCTTTCGGGTGAGGTGTAGCCGTCCATCGATCTATCGATCCCCTTTCCGGGGAATTTGGGGGTGACTTGAGGCTACGCACGGTGGAGGCCATCGCTATTAGGTTGGAGGCCACTAGCAAGGACGCTACTAGTTGACTTGGGGAGGACAAATGTGCCATGATTTCACCATCCATGTCAGCAGTCCATCAATTTCACAGCGCTGGAGCAACACTGCTCTCCGGTCCTAACCCTTCATGATGGTAGGAGGTGGAAAGATTCAACTGTGCTGGAGGTTGTCTTCGGGTCGGTCTTACTTTGAGGATTTGAGGTCCCTTTTTTCTTCGCCCTCTCCGACCGAACAAACAGAAGTCAAACAAATTGTCCACTCTCACAGCATTCTGCACTTTCTGTGAAGCAACACTTCAAAAGACCTTCAAAAGAGGTGCTTTGAATTGACATCACCCAGTTTTGGGGATTCACCCCTTCAAAAAACAGCTCTTTCCAAAAGCATCCTGCCCAACCCGACGCGGTCATACCCGACGCGCGCGGTTCGCCCAAGCGCGTCCCAAGCCACAACGGCTTCACCACGTGTGCGTTCCGGCGTTGATTCTTCAAGGCCACCCTCGCCTCTGCTTCCTGAAGACGGAAGCGCAAGGCGCGCAAGGCGGCCCGGATGGATTCGTGTGGTTTTGTTTCTCAAACGGTTTGCAATACGTTTCTTTGTTTCTCTGCTCGTTCACCGTTCTTTTTGTGTCACATGGTGTAGCTGTAGGACTCACCGGACGACGCAGGCCACGCCGCGCGGCAAGTTGGACGGAGAGTGAAGCGATCGGTCCAAGATGTGCGGTGTGTGTATGGATTCATACACGACGATCCATGGGACTGCCATAGGACTGCCAATCAGTTGGGGTGGTTTTGGGAGTGGTTTTGGGGGTGAATGTAAGCATATATATGGCATACATGAAGGTGTATGGATCATAGGCAGACCTTTTTCCAAGGGGTGTCCAATGAACTACCCCACACTACCTGGCTTCCAGACAGGGCACCCCTCGGAGGGTCCTGGTGCAGACCTTTTTCAGGCGTCGAGAGAACCCCGTTGCAAAAAAAGGGTTTGGAACTTAGAAGGAAAGTAGACCAGTCGACCCAGCCACGGGCGATCGGGCGTCTTCCGTTCTTTTAATTCACACACATTTGCTGAGTGTGTTCTTGGCATTTCTTGATTGACAGTCTAGCAGTTGAGCCATGCTCTTGCGCGTCCCCTGACTGGAGTGCGTTTGGTCATGTTCGGTGTGTTGCCACTTCGCACATGTCCACAGCTTCTGGCGCCGCAGCGGCGAAAACCGGACCGTGCAAACCGAAGGCAAGGGCGACATCCGACGACATCCGACAAAGCAGGAATCGCCAGTCCTGCCACTTCTTTCGCGCATTGAACAGCTTCATTGAAGAGTCGTTGCGAACAGTTGACGTATAGATCGACTCATACCATTTAAGTATACTACAACAGTCATGTTTCTTGCGCAGTTTCTTTGGGAAGCGCAACCTACCCCGCTCTTCTGTGGAGCGTGTGGTGATGTGAGAATTGAACACAGCGATGTACTTTCTGTTCTAGTCTCGTCTCGTCCGGCTTGAACCAATCCCGGCTGCAAAGAGCGAGCACAAACGTTCGGCGAGTCCAGCGTTTTCGCATTTTCCAAACAACGAAGGTCATTGTTCCGCGCGGAACTATATTGCAGATAGTCATTCCGTCATCTGGTCCAAAACTATCCATGGAGCTTCGCGGTAACTTTGTCTTGTTCGAACATTTCGCTTCCCTCCTGCCAGTAGTTTTCTCCACCCTTCTTGAACTCGAACTTCTTCAGCGGACCCTCCGGAACAATCAGCTCCTGCGCAGGACGCACCGACATCCGACGACTCCGACGACTGCCGACCGGTCCGCCGATCGGTACCACGACGTGGTGTCCGGGCACCTCTGAGCGGCCGATCTCCAAAGGTATCCGATTGGCACAATGGCAGGTGCAGCAAATAAAAATGCGCCCATGTGCACTAACATACCTCGGAAGGCCGGGAACGGAAGGAGATAGAGAACGGAAGGCCGGAGAAGGAGTATGTTTCTTTCTTTACGTGTCAGGGAGAATGTGGTCATGGATCGTAAAAGAGAATCACAACCGGCTCGAGCTCCAGAAGTTAGTGCACGAACGAAAAAAACCCTCTCAAGTTCAAGCGCTTTGCCTGGAATCCATCAGTGTCACCGTGTGTCTTTAAGTGTCATGCTGTGGCGTGCGACAATTGCCGCATTCCACGATTCGCATCCCCTGGCGACGAGGCGACGGAGTGAGTTCCGAAACACCGCTATAGCAAGGGGGGCACGAGCTCGGTAACAAGAACACCCTGCCGCTAAAGAAAGAAAGAGTATACAAAAGAGGAGAAAAAACAGCTACTGAAGAACGACTCATCTTGCATGCTCCACAAAAAAAAAAACAAAGCATCGAATCTCCAAGGATCTGGATGAATCCTCCTATCCAGGCCGAGCTCACCAGACCTACCAGAACCCACCCGCCCATTCACCGGCCCACGCCGTCGCGCCCGTGCCCTTGGGCCTCTGGAGCATGTCGAACCACCGTGAGGTGCTGCGTCTGCTTGAGGATGCGGTAGGAGCGAATCAGTCCCGCAATGAGGATCAGCCCGAGGATCACGGCCAACGCCCAATGGAGCTGACGCGACGGGGCGACGCGACGCGCGACGCGCGGCGAAGCGCGGAGAGACACGGAGATGGACGGATGGAAGCAGAATGGATCACGGATAGCCAATGGGAGATGTGCGGACGACAAAGTCTGACCACGACTTGAAGTTATCCTTTTAGCTGAGCTATCAGCTATCCTGTTATTATCTGTTCATGTCCGGAGTGCGTCTTCTTGGTTTTCGTCTTGTCGGTTTTGTCTTTGGTCTATATTATTAGTCTCAAACACAAACGTATGTCCTGAATGTGTCCATCTGAGCCAGGGCACAGTTCCAGGTTCCGCATCTGCCTGGCACCCCAAACAGTTCTCAAGCACCCACCATGTTGGACCCAAAAACAGCACCAAAAATGCAATCCCTGTGTCTCGGCCTGTAATCCCAGTGTCTCGCCTGAGTTAGAAGAAGTTTCTCCAAGTTTGAAGGCCGAAGATAGAGTGATGTGAACAACCTGTTTATGAACGTGTTGTACGATGGTCTCCAACTTAGTCATATTTCAAAAAAAGCTAATATGTTTTTTGCTTGTTCTGCGATGGTTTCTGCAGAACGCGATAGAATTCGTTTCAACAAAGATCTCAGCCACAGACCGTTACCTTGCCCTAGTGTAGGCGCTATACAGGCCTGTCAAGGGCACACGAAATGAACCTCTTGGAATCTCGAGCACTGACATCTGAATCTGACATCTGTTGTTCATGTTTTTTTAAATCAGTTCGACATCTGTCAAAAAGGTTAACCAGTGTTCGTCTTACTTCGTGAGGGTCTCCTGAATTCATTCGTTCTTGGCACCTCCAGCAGCACGGCCCAAAAAGCCGTACGAAGACGGGAAGCACGGCCACCTCGTCCGTGCGCGTCAGCGCACCAGGACGAGTGTCTCCGGGTGGGTTCAACCGGTGGACTTCGTCACCATCGTGAGACCCGTGTAAAGAAGAGCTACGCATATTCGTTTTGGGGTGAACACTTTTCACTCCAATGCCATGCCACGCCCTAATCGTTTGGTACGGACCATGGTCACAGCCACAGCCGCTCGTTTTGAAGGGCAGTGGGGCAGTGGGGCAGCAGCACTTTGGATCGCTATTGAGTGCACCATGAAGGATTTCTACCAGGTTCCGGCCGTAGCTCATAAACAAAGAACCCTATGGTTTAATGGGTTACAAATCAACATTGTTTTGACTTCAGGATTTTCGACTACAAGGCCAAGTGAAGCCGTTCTCACGTGGTCTTTGAAGGCTAATAGGGAAAGACATGACCGCTTTGCTAGTAGAAACAAAGATTAAAGAAAAGGAAGAAAGGTCGAAAAAAGGTCTACTTTCATGGTCGTTTTGAGTCGCTCTGAGTTGCCCACCATTCACACCTCTCATAGGCGGAACGTTTTCTCAGCTGGGCGGTACCGTCGCTTGAAGCTTGGAGCTCCTCTTCAACAACGACGGCGCAATGGCAGGTGATCGGAAGACGGCCGGATTTGGGGGGTGAAGGATCAAAAAAAACAAACAAGGAGCAACACAAATAAACCAAAAATGTTACAATAAGATCAAACAGTGATCATCATCAACAAAACAAAAAATGGTGATGTTGCAATAAACACAAGGGACAAATGATCAAAATAAAAACAAAAATGATCTAAAAATAGAAAGAAAGTAGTAGGTATAGTAAGTAGTATAAGTATTTAGTAGTAGTACTCGTCGTAGTCGTAGTAGTAGTAGTAGGTAGTGGGTAGTGGGTAGTAGGTAGTAGGTAGTAGGTAGTAGTAAGTAGTAACTAGTAAGTAGTAAGTAGTAATAGCAGTAGCAGTAGCAGTAGTGGTAGTAGTGATGGTAGTAGTAGTCGTGGTGGTGGTGGTAGTAGTAGTAGTAGTAGTGGCCATGGTAGTGGTAGTGGTAGTGGCCATGGTAGTGGTAGTGGTAGTGCTAGTGGTGGTGGTTCTTTCTTTCTTTCTTTCCTTCCTTCCTTGTTTCTTGATGCCTCTTTGTGCTTTTCTTGATGCGTATTGAATTGTTTTTAGCTGATCCCTATTTGTCTTTAAGTTGATCCCTATTTGTCTTTTTGATCCCTCTCCCGGATTTGGGTCGGAGTTTAGTTTGGCAAGCATGAAAGAATCACAAAGATCGAGTGATAGGAACATACAGGAACTACGAACTATATATTATATAATATTATATAAATGAGATTGGTGCTTTGGCGTGTTCTAGGGCAAACGCCTTGGTGAAAGTCCCAAAGCCGACACGTCGTGTTCCTCGTCACCGGCGAACTTGAAAATGCTGGTCACACTGCCATGCGCTTCTCGCGACAGGCCAAGGTGGAAACTCGACACCAAATTCTGGTGTTTGGTTTGTGGGGGCGATGGCCTATCTCAGGCTTTAACTGTTAAGAACAACTTTGAACAGCCGTTATGTAACAGTTGAGACATGCTAAGCTGCTAAGACCAACCAAAACCACAGAGCAACCTTGAGCCCAGCAGCCGCAAGATCAATCTTCTGAACTTCCGGTCCAAGTCTTCCAAGAACGGTGTCACACTTTGGTTAAAACAAGCACGAAAACCACCCGAGCTTCTCCTCTTTTGCCACGAAAACCACCCGAGCTTGGCGCCGGCCACTGGACGAAAAACACGTCTCGTCTCCAGCCACGGAACTCCTCGCTCTCCGGGGCTCTCGCGTGCGCGGCCGAGCTCTCCGGGTCGGCGCCGCGGTTGGAAACGCCACGAAGCGCGGTCTACCGCGCCGCGGGGTGGACGAACCGTGGTGGATGCTGTGCGCCTCGGATGGCAGCCGCTTCACCAGCGACGAACGCGCGCGCGAGCCGTGCGAGATCAGCATGCAAAAGCGAGATGCGACCAAAAGGCTCGCTTTGCACAGTGCAAAGTAAAACTTGTTCTTCTAGTGCAGGTACCTATATCCTCAGCACCGACGTCAAGCGGAGAATCCACTGAGTTTGACTTAGCGAATCCACTAGACTCACAAGGAAGAGATTCATCACTTTCAACCAGCAGAATGCACACTTCATGAAGCCAATTGATCCTGGACAAAGGGCCAATGGCTAATAGCTTCGATGTCACATCCTGTTGGCCCCGAGTCGACCACCGGTCCCAGCAACCCACCCCGGCCACCCGGACGGTGGGACGGTGCGACCGAGGCAAACCCGACTTGGCCGAAGAAAGGAGGACTAAGTGGTACGTACTATAGATTTCTATATAGGACAGGTGTGTGTTTTTCCCAAAAGGTGCTAGAATTGTTGACTGTTTGCACTTTTGGGATCAATCAATACCAGGGCGCCCGTGGACTATCACATGGGTTTTGCAATGGTTTGATGTAGTTTTAGTTTCAGACAGGAATGCTAATTAAAGTGTAGGCATGTGTAGGCCATGGGCTAGCTAGCTATATCCAAGAACCACTGGACATTCAGCAATCAGGTCGCATGTGATCCTGTGATCCTCTTTGAAGTCAGGTTGTTCGAGGTCTTCGGAGTTCCCTTCATTGTTCGCTTCCTTCGCTCATGTCAAAGGGCTCATTCAAGCAACAAAAGACACTAGAATCACTCAAAAGACAGGCATGGAGCCTTCTCACAGCCAAGCCAAGCCATTTTTGGGGGTTCGCCACCGTTCACATGGCGTGCATGAGTTTGCTGCATAAATATGGCGGGTGTCCCGAAGGAAACCCGCCCGTCTTTTAAACCCTTCAAACCCACCCAAAGGTGCGGTGTCAACCTCATCAAAGAAGCGCAGTTCGGTGCTCAAACAAGTCCACTTGGCAAGAACAAACAAGTGCTACAATTTTTTTCAGGTTGAGCTTTTTCGAAGACATAACTTTTTCTTCCAAAAAAGGAGTTTAACATCAAGCTCCCGATATTTTTTAAACATCTGATCATCCTGTACAAATCAGGATCCATTGCTGACTTGGAGACCAACCCCGCACCTGTGCTGCGTGGCTGCGGCTCGCCGCCGTGCTGTGTGGCCGGCTAGCGTCTTCCTCTCCGCATCCGCTGGTTGACTGCAACACAAATGGAACCAAAAGAACTTCGAATGCCGCGAGGTCCTTTTCGACGTCCGAAGGCTTTTGTCAGAACACCGTGCGGTGCCTTCATCAAGCAGCCGATGTATCAATGAGCCTCAGATTGTAGTGCTTCACTCCAGCTTTCTAAGCCTTAAGAGGCAATCGCAACGGTCAAAAAACACGTGCACTGCAGATCTTTTTTTTAATGAAGACCGAGACCACTTAGTAATTAGGCCAGGGTGGTCTCCCTATTGAAGTATACCTACACATCCCATCACCTACATCCAATCACATCTTAATACATAGATGCCGCCCAAAGGCTTTGCACAATGTAAAACGGATTCTTCCAGCGCAGGATCTCCTCCCACCACTGGCCAAGCTCTCTTCACTGAGACCTTGCGGCAGCAACCGCAGTACATCGACAAAGACCGGTCACCAATAGTCTATATACATATCCGCCGACCCCGGCTGAAGGAGGGGGAGCGCGCGAGGGATTACAGGTGCGGGAGCCTTGCGCTTCTTCGTCTCAGCACGAACCTGCAGGCAACAGACGCTTCCACTGCTCGATGCTGCTCGAACACATGCATCACTGGAGCCGCAATTGCGCTTCTTCGTCGCAGCACGAACCTGCAGGCAACAGACGCTTCCACTGCTCCATGCTGCTCGAACACATGCATCAGTGGAACCGCAAGCTACAGCAACATACGAACCCCTCTGGCGGTGGCTCACAATGTCGCGGTCGTGCTCCCTGAGGCCCTCACCGAGCCGGAAGCAGGGGTGGGCACCGAAAGTGTGACCATGGGAGGCTCGGAGGGTCGTTTTGGACCAGACTTAGATTGGAAAAAGCTGTGGCGGGACCAGGTGTTCGGGGCCAAGATGACCGAGACAAATGGAAAAAAACTTCTTTTTTTCTGGGGATTCAGAGGCGGCGTTTGGCACCCAAAGTGCGACCATGGGAGGCTCGTTTTGGACCAGAATTAGATTGGGAAAAGCTGTGGCGGGACCAGGTGTTCGGGGCCAAGATGACCGAGACAAATGGAAACAATTTCTAGGGATTCAGAGGCAGCGTTTGGCACCCAAAGTGCGACCATGGGAGGCTCGTTTTGGACCAGAATTAGATTGGGAAAAGCTGTGGCGGGACCAGGTGTTCGGGGCCAAGATGACCGAGACAAATGGAAACAAACTTCTTTTTTTCTAGGGATTCAGAGGCGGCGTTTGGCGCCCAAAGTGCGACCATGGGAGGCTCGTGTTGGATGTTCGGGGCCAAGATGACCGAGACAAATGGAAACAAACTT